GGGATGTATACCCTAATATCTCAAAAATTTTCGACACCGGATCCCGAAACGTCCAAAATTGTTCAAAAAACATGAATATTAACCTTCAATTTTGGATTTTTTTTCCTTTTCTGGCTCGAAAATAAAAATCGTCGAGATGTTTACCATAGACCCTAATACCCTTTAGGAGTCCAATTGGGTGGGTGAAACTGTCCAATTTGCCTTTAAACGGTGAATTTACCCGTTTATAACTTGCACCGATTTCATAAACTCAAGCCTATTACGGACATTTATGACAACATATAATTATCATATATAGTTCCAAATGGTATTATATGACCCTAGAATATATCCCCTAATATCTCAAAACTTTTCGACAACGGGTTGTTAAACATCCAAAATTGCTCAAAAAGCATGGATAATAACCTTCAATAATATCATTTTGGAAATTTTTTACTTTTTTTAGCCCGAAAATAAAAATTGCTGAGATGTTTATCATGGATCCTAATACCCTTTAGAAGTGCAATTGGGTGGGTGAAATCCTACCATTTTCTTTTAAACGGTCAATTTACCCGCTTAGAACATGTCCGATTTGAAAAACTCAAGCCTACCACGGATATTTATGACAACATTTAATAATCAAATATGGTTCCAAACGGCATTATATGATCTTGGGATGTATCCCCTTATATCAAAATTTTTCGACACCGTGTCCCGTAACTTCCAAAATTACTCAAAAAGTATGGATAATAGCCTTCAATTTTTGAAATTTTTTACCTTTTCTAGCCCGAAAATAAAAATTGTTGAGATGTTTACCATGAACCCTAATACCCTTTAGAAGTCCAATTGGGTGGGTGAAACCATCCCATTTTCCTTTAAACGGTCAATTAAACCACTTACAACTTGCACCGATTTCATAAACTCAAGCCTACCACGGACATTTATGACAACATTTATTGATATATACGGCTCCAAATGACATTATATGACCTTGTGATGTATCCCCTAATATCTCAAAACTTTTCAACTCCGGATCTTGAAACCTTTAAAATTGCACAAAAAACATGGATAATAGACTTCAATTTTTGAATTTTTTTACCTTTTCTAGCCCGAAATAAAAATTGTTGAGATGTTTACCATGGACCCTAATACCCTTTATGAGTCCAATTGGGTGGGTATAACCATCCCATTTGCCCTTAAACGGTCAATTTACTCATTTACAACTTGCTCCTATTTCATAAACTCAAGCCTACTACGGATATTTATGACAACATATAATGATCATATATGGTTCTAAATGGCAATATATGACCCTGGGATGTATCTCCTAATATCTCATATCTTTTCGAAACCGGGTCCTGAAACCTTTAAAATTGCTCAAAAAGCGTGGATAATAGTCTTCAATTTTGGAATTTTTTTACCTTTTTCAGCTCGAAAATTAAAATTGTCGAGATGTTTACCGTGGACCCTAATACCCTTTAGGAGTCCAATTGGGCGGGTGAAACCATCCCATTTGTCTTTAAACGTCTATTTACTCTTTTACAACTTACATCGGTTTCATAAACTCAATTCTACCACAGACGTTTATGACAACATATAATGATATTATTTGGTTCCAAAAAAGGCATTTTATGACCTCGAAATGTATCATCTAGTATCTCATGACTTTTCGACACCGAGTCCAGAAATCTCCTAAATTACTTTAAAACTGTGGATTATAGCATTTAATTTTGGATAGTTTTGGCTTTTTTTCACTCGGAAATAAAAAGTGTTGAGATGTTTAACATGATCCCTAATACCCTTCAAGACTCCAATTGGGGGGTGGTACCATTCAATTTGCCTTTAAGCATCCAATTTATCCTTTTTCGTATACGTCTCTTTTATTGGCTATAAGCTTTCACATGCCACATGCCCCCTTGCACCATCTAACATCCCAATACTTAGGCTTTGTGACTTGTCTTAGTTCCGTACTTAGCATTTTTGGCATTTCATACGCACCGCTAACCTCGGAAAAAGCCTAAAACAAACAATATCATACTAATGTGGAGTAGAATGTGTGTACGACGACCTGTCAAGATGGGTGACCCGGGCTCAATAATTGGTATCAGAGCTGATGGTTTGACGGGAAAAAACGGGCACTATAAATATAAGGACGTTCCTTTAAATGTGTGACCTCGCGATTGTGGTGCCTTGCGTCGAAAGTCCTCCTGTTATTGCGGCTCAAAGCGGTGTGTCTCGTGGTGATAGCGGCGGTGCAAGATAGTTTCACTAAAGGGGAGGCCATGAGATATATAGTCATTGATATGAGGGAAAGTTTGTTAGGGTTGTTCATCCCAAGTCGCACATGGAAGGAGTAAGGAGGTGAGGAGCTCATTAATAGTGAGTGCACACTCCATTAGTATGTGGCATTTTGGAAAGGTGTTAAAAAACAAATTCGTGCTGATTAGGCCCAAAATGGACAATATCATACTAATGTGGAGTGGAGTATACGTGAGACATCGCGACCCGTCAAGTTGGGTGACCCGAGATTAATAATAAGGTATGATATTCATCGTCGATCACACAAGATAGAGTAATTAGAAAAGAATAGAAAATTAAAAAGAGCTAGGTAGGAGTAATTTTTGAATTTAGAGAAAGGAGGTATTAACATAGAGATTGGATAGGAGTTTTATGTAGGTAACAATTGATAGTTGATCATGGGTTTTAATTTGCAAGGGAGGAAAGTTCAAAAAGACATCTAGCCTTAAAAATTTGATATTAATTTAGGAGACAGATATAAATAATGTTGGCACAAAAACATGCCAATAAGCTTTTAGTGTGATGGGTTTCTGTTTTGACTTATTATCGACGTTTTTGTCACTCTTCATATGAAAATTTGGTAGTTGATAGTTCATACTTTAATAAGGAGCCCTAAAACGTATAATGTAAATTCTCTCTAAAAAAAAAAAAAAAAAAAAAAAAAAAAAAAAAAAAAAAGGAAGTTCTCAAGGATTATACGTGGTACAATCACACGTTCCTTAAACAGCTGAAACACATCGAGACTTACAATTAGTTACTGAGTAGTTTGCAGCTATTTTGCACAGCTCAAAAAGCTTACCAATCTATTGAATCAAACTTGTTTTACATAGTATTTCGATACTTATATATGATATGAGGCACGTACACTACTGCATTATGTGCACAACATCTTTTATAATGCTTAATTTACTGAATTACTACAACTTTTGTTGGTTCATCCTTGCTGCTACAGCCACAGACTCGCCGACTCCCCCAAGGTTGGTTGCCAAATTTGGATCATTTCTCACCTCGGCTGCTATCACCCTTTCTGCATCCTGAATAGTTACTGGTTTATCATCTGATAATCTAGTTGCTGCATCCTATAACAAGTAACAAAGTTTTTATCAATCATCCAAAAAATGAACTATTATTACACCTATAATATGAAACAAAGTAGTATGAAACAGAAGACAGTTAGAAAATGTTACTGTAAGAACATCTCCAAGAGTGATCTTGTTTTCATAAGACATGATTTGTTCATTCCTAGTTGCAGCAGACTGAGCCTCTGCTCCAAGGCCACCAGGGGGAGTGTTGCCGCAGCCTGTGACCCGCATTTCGGCTGCCTGAATGGCAGCAGCATCAGTTTGGGTTATGGGTTTGTCCCCTGCAGATATTGCAGATGTCTCCAGGGCTTCTCCTATGGTCACTGCATCGCTGTCCACTGCCGATGGTGGAGCCACCATCTTGTCTGCGGTTGGGTTTGGATTCGGGTCTGCACATCTCACTATAACCTATATGTAAATCATATCTGTTTAATTTTATGCATCAATGTAATGGATTTGAACAGAGTAAAGAAAACAGAGATACCTGGTCACCAATAGACTGGGTAATGAAACGCTGACCATCAACTATGGTCTCAGTAACATTCATGCCTAGGTCTGTACCAACATCTGAGGCTGAACCTTGAGGGGTAACTCCGGCTCGAACGTTCTTGGCCGCGGCTGCCTGCATAAGGGCAGCCGGACCACCTTTTTGAGATTGGCCCATGATTTGGTTCTCAGCAGACTGCATAGCAGCAGCGTCTAGTGGTGCAATGGGCTGATTAGCAATCTTCTCAGACACCAAGAAAACATCCCCATACTTGATAGACTGCTGCTGTTGCTCTTGTTCTTGAGACATGCTGTTTAATTTTATGCTCTTTATTTCAGTTTTAATTGGATGATTATGATTGTAACTTGTGATTAGTTTTATATGTAATTAGTTTTATGTACTATATACGTAGTAGTTGTGTCGAAGTATAAAGCGGTGAACATAGCATGATGTGGAGATTTAGGAGCTAAGGTCGATATGCTAGTGTGCCACATGCCAAGGTTTTTGAGTTCTGTGGCAGATCTGCTTCTTCTGTCATGGTGGCGCGCACGTGTCCGTATGGAGGATAGAGATGGCCTAAATCATAGGATAATGTAGATCAATACATAAAACTTATCCGGTGACTTTAAAACATGTTAATAGTACGATGTATTCTATTCACTTACTTTTTACTTTTGCAAGTATTTATTGCTATTAAACTCGATAGCTATTTTAGGCTTTTACCAGTTGTCCTTACAGAAGTTCTCAAGTTACCATACCAGCAATATAATGTCCGTGTTTATATACTTCATATATGATAAGTTCAAACAATCAAACTCTATGCTTGATATTTGATCACTAGTGGAACAAAAACCATACCATGTATATATTGTGAAACTATCTTAAGTTAATTGTGTTTTTGGATAAACCTTGATCAGCTATGACAGTTTACTAATGTCCTAGTTTAGTCCCAACTCTCATGGCTAATTGCACTAAGCCAATTTTCGAAACGTGCATAGTTGTATCTCATGAAAAGGTAGGTACACCAGGGGCTTCGTGTATATAAGAATGTACTAGTAGTTTTTCCATGACAAAGGAACATTGAGCAACGGGTAAAAACTCGAAACATGTTCAAGTACAAGTTCATAACACCAAAAGACTTGACAAAGACAGAGTCAAAGAAACCAATGTATTCATTCATCATGTCAAAAACATCTCAATCACCTAGGATAACAAATTTAAGACACCCATGAACATAAGAAAATCCCTCCACCAATGTAACTCCAAAACAAGAACCAAAAAACAGAGGATTTATAAGAACAAAAACAATGAAAGAAGACTCCAAACCATGTACATGTAAGAACATAATTAAGAGAAGTACACACAAGTTTGCTTTAAGAAGGAGGTTGATTAATATTAGCAGCAGTGGCTAATGCCTCAGCAACACCACCGGGAGTCACCGATTCCTTAGGAGCGTCTGTATGATCGCTTTCGAGGCCATCCACATCCCCTTGCAGCTCCGCTGCTCTCACCTTCTCCGCATCCCTCACTGTCACTGGCTTATCACTCTCTAACTTCTCAGTTGCATCCTTCACATAAAACAACCCCAAGATTTAGTACATAATTCCAAATTTTGCCTCATAATTTTGTACTCATTCTAATCAAATCAAAGATAAAAGTTGTACCATTAATATCCTCTTCAAATCACTAAGAATAGCTCAATATATTCACCACCTAAATCCCTAATTTTGGTTTCCAATCTATATAATTTTCAACTCTTTGATCCCATGAATATCTTATTCAACTTAAATCCTTTTATTGCCCTATTACGTTTATAGTGACCAATGTGATGATGCAACTCTATAATCCCGTCTACATCATTGTCTTTTGTGCCGCAGGAAAAATCCCTATTTTCGATTTATAGTGGCCGTAACATAACAATGTGGCAACTTTAATCCCGTCTACGTCATTGCTCTGATTAATTTCTATTGTCAACAATTAACAAACACTTCAAATTTAATCCACCCCCAAACTCCCACAAATGACAAATCGAAGAATAATAAAAGATCAAATAACAAGAAAAATAAAACCCCAAATAAACCTAATTAAAAAATTACAACTTGCAATTATTAACAAACTTAATCAAATCAAATAAAAAAAATAATGGGAAAGAAAGACAAACCCCAATAACTTCAGCAAGGGTAGTTTTCTCCTCATCATAAATTCTTCTGGCATTGACCATAGCAGCAGATTGAGCTTGAAAGCCGATACCGTCGATAGGAGGAGAGGTGGCGCCGGTGGCCCTCATCTCGGCGGCTTGTATGGCGGCGGCATCGCTGTCGTCGACGGGTTTATTTCCGACGATTGTGGCAACCACTTCGAGCGCTTCTCCTATTGTTATCGCCGCTCTTGGTTCTTCGTTTGCCATATTTTTTTTTAAATTTTTAACAAGAAGCAATTCAAAGTCCGTATTATTTGGCTAGAAAATGGGGTGTTTTAAGTTGAGTTATTAGGAACGTGGACAAATCAGGTTTCAAGAAGTATGTTTTAATGTTGGTGTTTTAGACTGTTTACTAGGAATTGACAAGTGTAGTCTCTAGATTGTTACAGGTTTACAAGTGTCCACTTTTATCACACCCCCAATTGCTCAACGGCTCTACGTATATTTTTTTATTTTTTTTTTGGATTTTTTAATACTACCTCTGTTACATATTATTTAATGATACAAAGGCACTTAGAGATTGTGTTAATGAAAGCGTACAATTTCAATCACTTAAATGCCCTCCTAGAATGTTTTTGAGGGTCATGAGAAACACCCGAACCTCTTCGTTTTCCGGATTATTTGTGCTATTTTGAATCTATTTTGCATTGGACATTGATAGTGAAGAGGTCATTTGTGCCATTTTGAAATTATTTTGCATTGGTAGTGAAGACTTGCAAAATATGTAGTATGATTATTTATGTAACTAATTTGTCATCTCAGCCTCTCATGGTCCTATAGAAAGGCATGGAGTTCTTTATCTTCATTGGTGTAGACGTGTAATTGATTTATTCTCAATCATTATTTGCTATAACATTCCATTGTGATGTTGATTTAAAATGTATGTTGACCGTGTATTTTAGTTAATATACATCATAGCAAAATCACATATTATAAGTTTCTTCATTCGATTTTTGGTCACTCATGAAACCTAATTTTAGTGATATATTATGATAGTTATTTGCACAACAGATTCAATTATATAAATCACACTTGGCTCCCAAGAGCATGGAGGATCTTCCTCCAAGTGCACACATGCATAAGCTAGGCAGTGCTCATACGATTCTGATTATCATGGTCAAGGATTGACAGTAACATAATTTGTATACAACATTTCATATAAAACACCATTTTTTATGCATCGCTTAAATCATAAGATCAGAAGAATATATGGGGCATACAGAATTACAAGATAACATCTTAATTGATAGTGATAAGTGGGACACATGATTAAAAAAAAAAAAAACGTCACACAAAATCATGCCCTGTTTAAGATGAGATCCCACAGCACACCACATTCACAACACGTGTGGAAAACAAAGCTCAAAAAAGTTGGAAAGAAAAATACAGCATTCAGATATGTATATTTAGCCAGTAAGTAGTAAGTCACATTCATTTCTCAGGTTGGTTAATCCTAGCCGCAGTCTCCACAGCCTCTGCCACTCCACCAGGAGTAGTGGTCTGTTTTACACCGCGCAGATGGAGTGAATCTTCTGCACTAGCCCCTCCAGAATGACCTCGCAGCTCAGCTGCTTTTATGCGTTCAGCATCCAACTCTGTTGCTACCTTGTCATCTGTGAGCATATTTGTCGCTTCCTGAGTGTCATCAGAGGTTAGGTGCCACAAACATTATGCAATAGGTCTTGACTTGTTAAGGGATGCATTCATCAGTTAATTTAATTTTTTGTTTGGGGAGGAGAGTGTAAGTAAGAAACACATAACAAAAAATTGAACATTGTTTACTATTCTTAAAAAAAATACTTGTAAAAACTTCTAAAGCAAAGGAACTGCTGCTAACCTATTTACCTATCAGCAAATCACTAGTAATATCTATATTTTAGTTAGTAATATTGACATTTGAACTTTTCTGAATCGTTTTCAAGAATAAGTACTCCCTCTAGCTCATTTTACTATCCCCGTTTGGCCCAAAAGGTACTCACAAACACATGGTCAAATGGAATAAGCGAGGGTAGGGGAATATGTAAGTTCCCTTTAGCATTATCTTCAAATTGTAAGCATGTCAGTTTTATGCATAATTGTTGTTGGTAGGAAACTGGGAACTAGAAAGCTAATATCAGATTGATGAAAAATTATATAGATAATACTCATACTAATAAGGGAATAACAGAGTGTCCACACTCAGAAATAATATTTGATAAAATGTATACCTCGAGGACTTGAGAGAGCTTGGTTTTCTCCTCATCATACATCATTTGTGCATTATTAGTGGCAGCAGCCTGAGCTTCAGCGCCTAAGCCAGAACCAAAACCAGCATTATATCCAGTGGCGATCATCTCTGCAGCTTGTATTGCAGCAGCATCACAGCGATCTACAGGTTTGTCCCCTACAGCCTCAGCAGCTGCCTCCAGTGCTTCTCCAATTGTTACCCCTGCAGCACCCGATCCCATTCCCTCCACTGACATAGCCGATCCCATTTGCTCATGTGACAGCTGAGAATCATGCCATGGGTTGTCCTCCACCTTGTGCACGAACCAGAAACTAAGTAAGCATCAAAATTCAAATGTATGTGACTCAGCAGCACTAGCCATATTTCATTTTCTTCTCGTCCATAGGCAAGTTGAAGTATGCACCAACATCTACCACCCCATTTTGAAATAAATAATCTAGAGACTAAGATTGCTAATTAGGTCATATCCTATTGGTAATTAAGGACAAAGGCAATGTGCACATTACTCATAAATTCAATAGAACAACCATTGATGTTCATGGACATTGTCAGGGATTGATCTCACTATTGTTTTACCCAGCTGCCTATACACATTTCAGGATAAGAAGCCTAAGATATCATGTTCTAACACCAAAGAAAATGCAAATCGAGCAATCCCGTTTTCGCCATCCAATGCAATCAGTATATGTATATCTGGACTACACAAGCACTAATAAACCAATGACATAAACTTTGTTACAATAAGTCAATAACACCAAGAAACCTTTCATCATCATAAAATTCTCACAATACTAGGCATACAGCACTTAATGTATCATTCACTTCCAAATTTCATATATCAACAAACCCTAGCTCAACAACTATTAGCAAGACTTATCATGTTCCAATTCAGTAATTATTTTTCATATCATTCATCAAAAACAGATCTAGACAACCAATTTTAACTTGCATAACAAACATTGATGATTTCTACTATTTAATTCCACATACACATCAGACATTACACAATCAGAAATTCATAATCATTCAAACATTACCAAATTCAGGATACATTAAAACTTAACAAATACCCGTGACACTAACATCAATCCATAAAATCATGTTAGTATCTTCGTAATTACGAGAGGTTAAGACAATGTGACATCGAATATCAAACAAACAAAAATAGATCCACACAAATAACAAAGCCAGATAAATAAAAGAGTAAATAAATACCAGGTTTTGATCAGAAGAAAGAGTATCATCAGGCACAACAACACCAGCTTTAACATTCTTAGCAGCAGCTTCAAGCATAAGAGAAGCAGGACCACCTTTGATAGTCTTCCCAAATGCCCGAGTCTCGGCCGACCGCATCGCCGCCGCATCCCTCGGAGAAATAGGCTGCTCCGCCAATTCCCCCGACATCTCAAACAAATCACCATACTTTATTGCTCCCATTTCTCCTCGTCGTTCTTGTTCATACGCCATTATCCTAGATATGTTTTCTGGGTTTTTTAAGTCTTTGATCAAATCAACCAGATTTTTGTGTACAAAACTAAAGTGAATGATGTAATGTATGCTAGAATATGGCATGTATTGTGTTTGTTTGACGAGTGGCACTATATATTGTGTGCTTAGTGTCCAAATTTCGAGGGGTAATTATTTGTGATTATATTTTTATCTACACGTGTTGGTTCGTCATTGAGGGTGATCTTCTGTTGAAAATTCACCACTTACAAGGTTACAACGCTTGTGTGTGCATGTCAACGATTGGATCTATGTGCTCGAGTTTCGAGCCTTATCCGTTCCGATATATATAGACCTTGTTTGGTAATTAGATATTGGCGTTGATCCACCTTATGGTAAAATCTTTGTATTGTTTTTGCTTATGTACTTTTTAAGTTTTGCCCATTAACAAGTATTTGTCACGTACAAAGGTTACTCATTGTTTGATTCTATTGAAATACATTCAAAATTCACTTGCAAAATATCCTTTACAAAGTAAAATCTACTTGTATAAATGATTGGATGTAGCCCTATAAATGCATTATTTGGTGTAGTAAAATTAGAGGTCACAATTGTACAATTTAAGAATTATGTCTGTTTTTATACAAGGAAGAAGGTAATTCATAATAGATAAGGTAAAAGCGTAAATGTAAGTTAAGATAAATTCAAATAAAATAAGTTATAACACAGTTCATGCAAAAAAATGTTAAGAAGTTCAAATATGATAACATTAATAGTTTGAATGAAGACAAATTCACCAGAACAAAACACTTACTACACCAGATATCTAATGTCAATGGGCTGTTTAAGTTAACATTCAAGTGCTAGGACTTGCCTTGCAAACTTTGCATCTCACCTAGCACTTCTACCACAAATACAACTTCAGAGTTCAGACTGAAGGTAGGAACATCTTACTCCTTGATAAAGAATTGTATGTTCTCTCATAGGTTTTGAAATTTTTTATGGTTGCTCGAGTACTTAATTGACAATTGTAGATGCCAACTAACTTAGTCATACGACTGATATAGAACCATTATACTTGTATTCAATGCTGATGATTATCCAATTCAACCTGTTCAATTTGTCATCAACTCCTGATTTTAGCCAAGCTAAGATAATACTAAAATTTTACAACCCCCACCCCTCCTGCACCCTACCACCAAAACCACATCTGTTCCTCTCAGCCCATATGCACAACCCAAAAGCTTGCACATTGCATACAAACCGACAAACCAATCAAAGGCGCAAAGTCGCTCACAGTCATTGATCGTCCAACAGAGGGAAAATAAAACAGAACAAGGAAGATGCCAATGCAATGTCAGAGAGAAGCATAAATCACACTGATACAATGCATCATACCATCAGTCACTGATGAAAAGTTTTCTCCCAATATCCTTCAGACCCATAACAGAATCTGATCCCCCCATGCTTTGATTATGTCCAGATCTCAAAAAGCTTTAACTCAAAAACATTTAGTAAAACATACCGAGTAGTTTGTCATCAACCCCATACCCGGACCCAAGATTAAATAAGGCTTAATATGAATTATGAAGTGCACTTTTAAAGGATGACTGCACACATAAACGATAAGCCCCTGTTATGTCACAGAGGTGAGAAGAGCCAAGCAAGGTCCACTAAACCAGCATCATCACTAAAGACCTAATTCAAGAACCCAGAAAGATGTATAATTTGACAGGTAACAATACCAAATTTGTCAAAATGAAATTTAAAAAAAAAAAAAAAGGTCAAGAAGCAAACAAAAAGACAATCTTGACTCGTATTTAAGCATCACAAGGATTAAGCAAATGTTAAACAATTTAAACGATAATAAAATGAGGGCCCCAGAAAAAGAAGCACTGATACCACACACACAGAAAGAAGCAGCCAAGGAATGCAACTTCTGAGAAACTGTTCCTAGAATGCTCCACACAGTCCACAGCATATGGACTCAAGGAATGAAACGCCAAAATACTTTAAAATAAAATTTTAAAAAATAATGAAGATTTATTTCATGTATAGTGTGCTTTCAAAAGATCAGGTAAAATTCAAGCTATATGTGATGGCGAAAGATAGACATAAGTGGGTCAGGGAATGTAGCTTACTGTAGCAGAAAATAGTGCATTTGCAAACCAGGACCACCCTCCACTCCACCTCCACTTTATTTCAATTGTCACCGAGTCGCAGAGCATAAAAGGCGGTGCCCGTTGAGGCATGTGCTACGGAACCATTGCTGCTCCAGCACTGCTGCATTAGTCACCAAGATGTACAAACTCGAAACATAGGAGAGAGGAAGAACCTTGAGACATTTGGTAAAGTAAGGTATCATAGAATTTTTAAAGCATAAAGTGAGAAACTAAAGACGAAGTCAAGAACTCCCCACAATTATGACAAAGAATGGTCACAAAGTCTGGGATAAAAGCGTTTCATAAAAGGCAATCTTTTCTTATACAACATAAAGCAAGTCCCAAATCATGACACTACGATCGGAGAAGTTTAAATAACTTGCTTTATGAAAAAGATATCCTGCAATAGAAAAGGATAATACAAGCTAACTTTTAACATGAACAAGTGCAAATCACCAAATACCAAGCTTTTCTAGGCTTAGTGTTCAGGGTTTATTTCTTGTAACCATGAAGTCATGGGATCAAATCCCAACTAGGATATCTAGAGGATGAGAGGATTCCCTTTCCTTCCTCTACCCTCAAAAATCTGATATTTCCAAGTATATTAGATTTTCAACTATTCCTTGACCACACAGGGCACACACAACTACACGAGTAATACTTCTATGTTACAAGAATCAGCAGGAAAGTGAGTACTATGAGGGGAATCTTCTATCTAACCATAAACACAAATCAAAACAAATGCCTCACTGATAATTTACAGCATCATGAACAATAATGCAGCACTAAAAACAGAAGACATTAGATGTATAGAGTGAAACAAAGATGGAATTCCAACAGAGAATAGCATCTAAGTAGAAACCTATTCAGCTACTCCTATACAAAATAGATGAATAGCCCTTCATAAAATTATTCCGATCAAATATAGATAAGCTATAAGTGACCTCACTTCCAAGGTCCACAATTAATCAGAAGCAACTTTAAATACAAATCGAGTGTACTATTCAATAAAACATACACCATATCACCATCAAAGGCCCATGCCAGGCAATACAAGTCAAACAGTCCTAGTGTCCAAATGCAACTACAACAATATCTAATAACATGCCACCGTGATCACACTAATACCGTGAACGAGTAACAGGACTCGCCCTGTTATGTTTTCAATGCTTGTCTGGTGAGAGGGGGTACAAGATGTAACAGGATGAATTCTGAAGTCTCATCTCCCACAAGTAAAATGAAGCTTTACCAGCTATAACAACATAGTATAGTAGTATCAACATCACCATCGATGGTCTCTAAATGAAGTTCAAACAAACACTAACATTTTCACCCCCATCAAAACACCTAAAGCTTCCTAACAATGCTTCTACAGACAATGTAAGCTCAACCCATCATTCCACTAAAAAGCCTTCAACTTTATAATCATAATCATAGTAATCAATAAAAAAAAAAGAAATACCCAACTTTTGAACATCCCAAAAAAATGCACATCATAACACTATACTAAAAGAAAATTCACAAATCCCAGCATCAAATTACTCAATATAATAATATTAAATCAAGAACATAATTGAACATTGATCACATTGAAAGCATAAGAAGCCCAAAATAGCATTGCAAACCTTTTTGTTTCCCACATTACATATGATTCAACTATAGAAACATAATTAAAAACGAGGGAAACTAACCAAAACAAGAAAAATTAAAACTAAAAAATAAAAATCAAAAGAAAAAGAAAAAGCTTTGATTTAAGCTCTCTCACCAGTCATCAATTTCACTGTACAATGACAAGATTGCCCTCACCCCAAACACCCTCTCTCCCATTTTCTCTCTCCTCTTCATCCTTCGGAACCACCACCACCAAATCGCCGCCGTCATACGTGGCCGTCGCTAATTCCGGTCGAGTACAATCCGGCAACCGAAACCGCCATAAATCGAGTTCAAGCCCCGTCATCGCCACGTCAGCAATCGAATTACTTCGGACCACTATCTTCGTGACACCTGGGTGAATCTCAACCGTATCCGCCACCACATCGGACGCCACATCCGTGTCAAACACCGTGAATTTGAAGAAATCAACGGTTTCTTCGATGTCCACGTCGGCGTCTGAGCAAAAGGGTAGTTCTAGAACCTTCGCGAAGATGTGGGGAAGTCTTCGAAGCTTCTTTTGACCTCTGCAAGGTGTTGTTGAAGACGATGATGATACGATGTCGTATCGTAGGGCTATGTTTCGCTTCTTCGGTGCTGGGTGGACCTTCATTTGGGACGAATTGGAAACCAAACCCTAATTCGTGGGAAATTTATAGGGAATTTGAAAAAATTAAAATGAAATTAATTAGGGTTATTGATTGAAGATCGGAAATTCAAAAGGGGGGTGAAGAAGAGTTACAGTGAATGTATGTGTGGTTGAAGATTTGGGGATTTCTTTTCTGGAGTTTTTTCTGTGTAACTGATTTTTTTAGGAGATAAGAAAAAAAAAAGGATTTATATATATACTTGGTAAATATGGTAATTAAACGGGTTACACACACTATAATTTAAGTGAGGTTTTTTAATTCTTGTGATTATCTTGATTTGATCGTAGTTTTGGAAGTTTGAGGTGGTGGGACCTTAATTATGTGCATTCATGCAATATCATAGATTCAAAGCCAAACCAAATCTTTGTGTTATGACTCTTATGAGCTCATGATCAATGCTATTCGGTATGTTTCTAGTATTTATATTGGCAATTGCTTCGTTAGAGCAAGTTTAGCCCGAAATGTTAAGCCTTGAATGTGACATCATTTTTTGTGCTTTTCATTGAAAATGATGTCATCACATTCTTGTTAAGACTTACTGAAACTTGCACAAATTTATCACTTTAGCCCTAAGACTTAAATATATAACATATTATATGTAGAAAAGTGTAAAAAAAACTAAAAAAAAAAAAGATAATAAAATAATAGTGAGGTGGGTCCCAATCTCAAGTCTTAAGTTGAGTCTTGAAATTTCAAGACCCAACTTAAGACTTACTTGAGATTTAAGAAGAAAAATGGGAAAAGTCTTAAGCATAAGTTTTAAGACTCAAAATGATGATGTCACCTAAGACTTAGGGCTCTAATGTCCTTCATACCAATGATAATCTAGCTCAACAGAATATTAAGGTTCCTATAAATTGCCCTTTATGTAAAGTCATGATGAAACTTAGCTTGTGGCTGACTAATTTTTCATTATTGCCAAGAAACAAACAAGCCCTTGGTAATGTCCAGTCTCTAAAAAATTCGAGTCAACTCAAATTGTTTGCCAACTAACTTGACTAATTAACACCCTACCCCTATTATAAGTTTAGACTTAGAGGTTATGACTATGTAATACTTCATTTTAAGGGAAGTATATAACTATATATCCATATTGCACAGTCAATTAAATTCTCTTCTTATCGAGAGACATTGTTATAAGTCTTGTAACTAGTCAAGTATGTCATGTCTAGACCTGGTTATTGGGCGGGTCGGGTCAGGGTCGGTGCGGGTAGGTTGCGGGTCAGGGTCAAAGAGGGTCACATTTTATAAGGTCAATATAGGGTCGGGCCAATGCAGGTCGCGGGTCGATAATGGGCGGGCCTACAAAATATCAATTAAAATAAATATTGGACAAAGCCATTATTAAATACATATGAATACAAATTAATCTATATAATTATTTTTACATTATGTATTTTCTTTATCAACTAAATTGGAAAAACATGTTGGCCCTATATTGACCCTACCCAATAAAGGTCTTGTCCATTAATAGCCCTGTCCATTAAAAGCCCTATAAGCTTGGCCCTAACCCTATTATCATTGGGCTACCCTGTCCAATAACCACCTCTAGACTCACGTCTAGTTCAACCATGAGCTCTTGGCTACCGAAAATAACCCTATAAAGTTAATTATCCATAATTAATTATTGAATGAAGTACCTCATAGGGCATTAGATAACACGTACATGGATGCATCACTTCATTTGTTATCCAAATTTTGTAGCTTATGATAAAGCCATAATATTATTGCTGCAATTACATCGTACCTTCAGTTCTTCATACTTTCACATGTAACAACAGATGATCATAAAGCTTGAGAATTGTGACTTGTCTCAAATTTTGGGCCACTTTTCCACCCACTTTTAATCAGCAATTAAGTCATCATCAATCTCAAATGTCATGTCATTTTGTGTACTTGTTGTTTCGGGTGAAAACAATGGGACCTTGCCGAAGGTCCGATGAAGTGGAGAAGACTAGATTCGGTCCAAGTAATGTTGGGCCGAAGGTTTCCTGCACAGTAAACACACGTAAACTAGCCTCGGGGTGTTGCCGAGGAAGGCCCCTCCGATGCTAAAGTCAGTACGGTGCGTAAAGAGAACACTATGCAAGAGAATTAATTGCTTGAGGCTTTGCTTGAATGAATGTACAAATGTAATATTGATGGCTTTTATACCTCTTCATACATGGAGAAGTTGGGCCTTAGCCCAATTGGCTTGCCTTGAGGACTGATCTTTGACTTTAGCACAATTGGAGAGATGAACCTTGACCTTGGGCTTTTAATTAAATCATTTAATGCCTAAGCCCAATTGGACTAAATTGGACCCAAACAACTTGCCCCCCAGACCCGATTTGGAAGGATGACGGGTCGGGTTTGATTTAATCAGAAAAGGAGGGAAGTGAATGATTTAATTAATCCAAAAATTTGAATTTAAACTGTAATTAATGAGATAACAACAGTTAAGGCGGATAATTGTGGAAGTTGGACGGATAATGGGCAGTTTAATCGCAAGGTCGTGTGTTTAACGGTTACTTAGTGGGGTATTTAAGAGAAATTGAAACGCGGACTCCCCGTATTCCCATTCCTGGAGATATAATCAGAGGCGCGTCATCTCTCCTCACTTATTCACCAACACAAACCCAGAATTCTCGAGAGAACCCAAGAACCCGCATCAAAACTTCGCAAATTCCCCGAGCATTAAGCTTAGAAACTGAGACTTGCCACTACCAATTCGTAAATCGGCAACTTTCGCTTCAGATTAAGGTAAATTCCTTTGATTTTAGTTTATTTTTCTTCGAATTCGAACTCCTTCCTTTTTTTCGACTTTTTTCTTCGAAATTATCAATGGCGAGAGGAGTTAGGGGTAGAGCCCGTGCTCCAAGAAGAGCAAGGCCAATTCCCGATCCTAGGATTAGGATTGGGACCTGGAATGGACAAAGAGCAGAGTCTGACCCTGCTGAAGGGATCAGGGCGACTCCAATTTCCTCGGCTCCTCCTCAGAGAACGGAGGGGCCGAGCGCTTCTGGGCGGGACGATGAAGTTCCCGCTGTCCTTTGGGATATCCTCCTCGGGTTTTCAGAGTGGGAGGATGCCGAAGTAGCTTCGGCCATGATAAAGAACCGCCCCTACTCATGGTGGGTGGAGAATGCCGAACAGTATCGGTTTGCCGAACAAATTGAGTTGCATTACGGCATCCTTGAAGCTGATGGGTATTGGAAACACAGGGCCAACTGAAGGCAATGCTTCGGGATAATGGCTTTCTGGGATACAAGGCTCAGTTAAGGCAATATCCCATAATTGTCCATGGACTCATGTCTTTGGAGAACAAGTCTTAATGAAGTTTGACTTCAGCTGAAAGACCAGTGTTCTTTAAAAAGACGAGTTTTGTCAGCAATCTGAAACCCAGTTACCCGAAGGCGAAGGTTTCAGACGAGGCTGAATAAACAATTTCCAACTGTTGCTGTTATCCTTGATTTTCTGTCTATCATTGAAAAATGGATATCCGAAACACAGGGCCAACTGAAGGCAATGTTTCGGATAATGGCTTTCTGGGATACAAGGCTCAGTTAAGGCAATATCCCAGAATTGTCCATGGACTCATGTCTTTGGAGAACAAGTCTTACTGAAGTTTGACTTCAGCTGAAAGACCAGTGTTCTTTAAAAAGACGAGTTTTGTCAGCAATCTGAAACCCAGTTACCCGAAGGCGAAGGTTTCAGACGAGGCTGAATAAACAATTTCCAACTGTTGCTGTTATCCTTGAGACCTTCGGCAAGGTCCCATTGTTTTCACCCGAAACAATTTGGCGCCGTCTGTGGGGAAGACTAGATTCGGTCCAAGTAATGTTGGGCCGAAGGTTTCCTGCACAGTAAACACACGTAAACTAGCCTCGGGGGTGTTGCCGAGGAAGGCCCCTCCGATGCTAAAGTCAGTACGGTGCGTAAAGAGAACACTATGCAAGAGAATTAATTGCTTGAGGCTTTGCTTGAATGAATGTACAAATGTAATATTGATGGCTTTTATACCTCTTCATACATGGAGAAGTTGGGCCTTAGCCCAATTGGCTTGCCTTGAGGACTGATCTTTGACTTTAGCACAATTGGAGAGATGAACCTTGACCTTGGGCTTTTAATTGGATCATTTAATGCCTAAGCCCAATTGGACTAAATTGGACCCAAACACTTGTATTAATCACCTTCTTATCTTCTTGTCAAAACTTTGGTCAATATTTAATGGCAGGAGTTTCTTCACACAAATAGAGTAGTATTCATTTCAATCTTTCATACCCGCCTACTCGGTAATGAATAAGAGATTTTTAAGAAATTGCCAAAAAAGATTGAACTACAAATTTAAAAACTTTTGACTGGGTAGATTAATACAGCGATATGATACCACATGTACTAAGTAAATGATAAGCAAAAACCTTGCTTCTCAAGGTTGTCAATAGACAAAGTCATACCTTTTCACGATTATAAAATAATTAGTCACAAAATTTTCGAAAGGGATAGTTTTACTCATGAGCTTAAAAATAGAGTTACTTACGTTGTTATATATGTAAACTAGCCAAACAAAATTAAGTCCAAGCCATCGTAAACTCCAAACTGAGACAAAGCTATCTAGCTTAATGAATATAGGTCCGGTTCTGTTCACCCTATTTTCACTTATTTCAGGGTTAATAAGTTCAGATAAGATAAGTTTAGGAAAAATAAGTTCAGATAAATTGTGATAAGGGTTAATCAGGGCTACCCAATTTAATTTATAACTAAAATAAGGACTAATAAGTTCAGATAAGATCAGATAAGTAAAAAATCAGGTGAATAAAACGCACCCATAATTGTATTCTCAATGCTCAAATACTAGACCTCTAATCTTGAAGCAACTTACTTATGAGTTGTCTATGTGATCAGAGTATATATTGGTAGTTTATGCAATAATTACCGAGTATATATTTTTAGAAAATATCCTTCATAAGGAGGGCTTTTTAATGATTTTTTATCTTACCACTTGAAAAATAATTGCGGAGTAGATACTTGTAACAAACCAATACTAGTGCAATCATAGTAAAGCCCATTAATTGAATAATTGGGCCGTCATTTGTATTTTAAATGGTAAGACCTTGGATAACATGGAGTATAAAATTGAGAGAATAAACATTGGCATTTTACTTTTATAAGGAAGGCCTGGACATAAAGTAGTTAGCCCAATGATGTGGGCTTAAATAGAATGAGACCCTTTCGTACCCAAACAAATTAGAGTTAAGTGAACATAAATCATCCTAAACAACGACCCCCAAATTCAATACACCAAACTTAGAGAAAGGCAAGTAGCATGAATTTATACTCTTTTTTCTAAAAAAAAA